AAAAATATATATTATTTATGATGGATGTTATACTCGTATGCTCAAATTAATTATAAATGCCTTAGCTAGCGGTGAAGACATGTATGATGCCGAACGGAATATTATATCTTGGACATTCATATCCGATCTTCTAGATTTTCAGGAAATGAATGGGCTACATGCAGCAAATAAATTAAGGAAAGAGCACATTAAATGGGAAGAAAATAAAATGAATGTGCGAATAGCTGCTCAAACACTAAGTAAAAGTATAAGTGTAAATGTTCTTTTTTTCAAAGAAGATTTAAAAATACCACAATTTGAAAATGCTGCTGGAACTGATAAATTTTGTAATTTTATAAACGACGCATTTGACATTCTAAATTTGAAAGAGTTGTATCATACAGATGAATACAAAAGAGCTATATCTGAAAAGAACATTGAAGATATTGCAAAAAGAATAAATGAGATTATCACCTATATTGAAAACTTAAAATACTTTGATGGGACTTTAGTCATTAATTCGCGTAAAAGAACTAGATTTTAGGGAATAATTTGTTCCCTAAAAATATTATAAACATTTATAAAACTTATTTTAAGACTAATAAGTTTTATTTATTAACGTATATAACGAGTGAAATTGCTAACTCGTTATGTCTCTCTCTCCCTAGTAATGATAAGTAAATGTAACATATTTCTCCGAACCTATCCTATGTATTTATGAATTTATTATATTTATATATATTTATTACCTATATTTACATATGTAACTACACTTCTGTTCTGATATAAGGTAAGTGAGGTGAGAGAGATATGCGAGTACGCAGAGATACTTCTGTGCTCGACAGCAAGGCGCAGAGAGAGAGAGAAATACAGTCGCACCTTAGCGAGTGACCGCTCGCACTGATTGGCTCATTAAGACGAAATCGAGTAGTTGAGCCCGCGGTACGAGCAGTAGCTGTGTAAACACGCGAGTGAATAGACAGAGTCCTTTGTTCTGACTGTTTTCTTTCCTTGGATCTTGACTGTGCCACACTGCCGCTCTTTTTCTTCGCCCTTGGAGTGTGTGTCCTTATTCAGGGGGGAATTGCGACATCGCCTGGCTCTGCGGACGATTTGAACACGTGGGCTGCAGCCGGTAGTGCGGAGCATTGTTGTGCTAGGCACCATCACAAAGAGAGACTGAGCTGCATAGTACATGTGGTGGCCTATTGTTCGCGCGTACGCGTCAACGCAAATTGTATAAGTTGTCGGCATACCTAGAGTTCAGGCACCTGTATTGTAAGTAGCGGCTTAATGGTTTACCCTCTCTCTCTCTCTCTATCCATTCACTCAGCGTTCTCTCTCCCTCCTTCCGACCGCCTGTGTTAACTTTTTATTGATTAAAGATATTTTTCTTTGTAAACGTTCTAACTTAATTGTATCCCGCTGCTTTCTTCGAACGTCCTACCTTTTCGCACCGACAACCGCTTTTGAATTTTCGAATTTCGCGTTCCTTAGCCAACACTACGAATCTGCGCTGATCCGACCGACCTGTCACCGGCGTGACGAACACCGGACCTGGGAGGACGACTAAATCCAGGAAGCTTCAGACTTCGTTCGATCATTCTCCATTTACTTTTTCTTATATTCACGGGGTAAACCGAGCTAAAACCCCGTTATACGTATAAGTTATCTCAGGACCATCTCGAAGTATTTTTTGGTGCAGTACGAAACAAGGGTGGTAACAGTAACAACCCAACTTGCTACCAATTTGTTAATATTGTTAAAAAGTTGCTAATTCATGCTGATGAAAAAGAGTCTCAGCATGCGAATAGTATTCCTGTAGATAATACAGAAATTTTAAAGATCTCACCTGAAACATGGAAAAGTTTTAATAAAGTATATCTAACAAGATTACTGATAATAACTATACAGATGTTGATATTAGAGATTATTCACTAAGCTGTGATAATTTTTACGGTTCTGGAACTAATAAGTTATATATAGATAACGTTGTTGCGTACATAGCTGGCTTCATAGTTAGAACGATTTTAAGACGCATGAAATGTTTTCAATGTCCATTGTTATTAACAAATGGAAGTAGTCATTTATCTTTAGTGGATAAAAAAAATCGTGGAGGTTTAATCAAACCGTCTGAAGATGTAATTAAGATGTGTCAAATTCTCGAAAAAAACTTCAAATTATGTTATAAATCCATCAAAGGTATTCTTAAGCAAATGTGTTTTGATATGACATGCAAAATACCAAAGAATATATTACCAATTAATCATACGGAAAATCCAAAGCTGCACAGATCGTATTTACTTAAATATATAATTCTTAAGTATTCACAAATTCGAATTAAACATCACGAACTACAAACGAAACAAGCTGCAAAGAAGATAAGAAGAAATTTTACTAAATTAATTCTATTTAAAAATCAGTGACTTAAAAATATAAAATGTAATATCTATTATATTTTGAAAACTGATTTATTTTTTCTTTACATTTAACTTATTTTTGTTCTTACAATATGTCGTGTACATATATATATATATATATATATATATATATATATATATTACCTGTGTAAAAGTGATCATTTAAAAATCCACCGAAACTATACTCAATAAAGGACTTAAACAACTTGCTAAAATAAAGATTCATGATCATTTTTATAATAACATTTAATTTACGGAATAACTGCTTCGCTTGCTATTCGAGCACATGGACTAGCCTGATAGCTAATCACGTGCGACTAGAGAGAGATAGCATATCCTTCCATACATGCTATCTCTCTCTTCAACTGGTTACGTGCTCTGCCACTTGAATGCTACCTTCAGTAGTATATGCTCGAAGGTCTGTACGAGTTCGTGTGCGATTAGGTACGCACTACGTGCGGAATTCTGTGTGTATGTATTATGTATTTATGTATTTTATGTACGTATGTGTAGATGTATGTATGTATAATTTAAATTATTACCTATCGTTCAACTCTATCACATTCACATCAAGTTATTTTCTTCCATATTCAACTTGATATTGTTCAGCAGTCAGCTTCATGTTCTTTGTAGTGACAACGCTAAATTAAACCAGTTCACTGACTTTTCAGAATACACTACAAGACATGTCGAGTTTTCACAATGCGAAAAGTCATTCAATTCTAAATAAAAATGTTTTTGTTTCGATAAATAATCCAAAGTTACCGTTGCTTGCAATTAGTTAGTATTTTAGATAAAATTCGTCGCTGATTAGCACTGATGGAGCATAAATAGAGCGACGTTAAACAAAAAAAAATCTCTTAAGCAAAAGTAGCCGAATAATATGTTTCATGCTCTCTAATTACAAATTATACTGTATACGTCTATAAGAATTGATAGCGACGCTATTGAGCTTAGCTCAGTAGACGCATCAGTTTCTTTGGCACTTTGCTAAATATGTGGTAATAGATGAAAAAGAAAGCCTATTTGGAAGGCTACATAGTTTCATTAAGCACATTTTACTATTACAAGAAACAAGAGAAAAGCGTAAGGTCAAATAGCTGAATAACAGAGAGTCTGATCACTCTATCAATAACGTTTTTGTTCTAATATACGATTCTGGATGACATAAGAAAGTAACGTTATAGTTTATTTTATGATTTACAATAAATATATTTTCATTTACAGAAGAATGATTAGGAAATACCATTTTATGATCACTAGAATAATTTCCTTGCTTCAAACTCTATTTCCCTTTCGCTGATTTTGGACTAATGCACTCAAAAACCCTTATAAATATTAGATTGTTATAACTACATGCATAATCATGTATAATACCGGCGGATACCAAATTTAGTGAAAAATTTTGAGAAAGTTTCCTCTCTTGAGAGTTTCAAAGATGCCATATTGAATTGTGCAATTTTAATACCAGATTTGAATTCAGCAACCTCAAAAATAGTTGTATACCAAATTTGGTCCACATGTAATACAAATTATGAAGATTATTCAAATATATACATATATGATCTATTGCCAGTTTAGGCATGACTTTTATTGTATATATATAACCCATTGCTAGTTAAGGAGTTAATATAAAAATGCGCCAATGTAACGGCTGCTTGCGATAACACGTTAACAATTGAGTACCATTATCACCTGTTGATTGGTATGCACACGACGAACTCCCTTTTTCGCTGCAACTCACCATCGTACGGCCCGTCGGCCTCTCATTGGCTGACAGCCAATCTCTATTATTTTATTATCAAATTATCAAAAAAAACTTTTTTAATTACGTCATCTTATTTAATTTTTCAAGGCAAATCAGATCGCACCAAACTGCTCATATGTTTCAGAATCACCATATAAGCATGTTAAACACCAAATAGCGAACGAAACCGCAACGTTCATCTTCTGCTGTTGTCATTTGTCTATGTAATAAAAGTTTATATTGCTATACTTGTACAGCCCAGTCATCAAATTATACATTATGACCTTACAGGGTTTTACCCTACGGTCTTAATAAAGTTAATCAATTACTTAATCAATCAACTTCTCCCGTTTACCTTTCCTCGCGCCAGTATTAGTATGTGTGCAGACCATTCTTGTCTTCTAGTGTTTGTGCGCTGATGGATTTAGGTAAAATAATGCATGTTAACAGTTTATCCGTTTTCAGTTACTTCAGAATTTTAGTAATTTTATTGTTGGATTAGCACAGATTATTTGTCAAGATTATGTATGTATCTAGTTTTGATAAAGAAAGACTTCTTACTAAGAAATCGAGCTCTCACTTCATCCTTATCAAACATTGTACACAATACAAGCACATATTTATAATTTCATTTGGTTATTTCCATGAATTTTAAAATCTTGTATAAAATTTTCAAACTTTTGAAAATGTAGATTTATAATTATAGTTGATTTAATTTCAGTAAATACAGTAATAAATCAACCGGATATTTGGATAAATTCTATAATCTGGAAAAGAATAAACCTCGAAGCAAATCCCGTGCCTAATGAAAATTTAACTTTGAATGAAGTGATTGAATCTATATTTTCTGGACACCCACAAGAATCTGAAAGTAATTACTGCATTTTACGTGTAATTAATCAATGTATATTGACTGAAAAATGTCAAAACTTGATAACTAACAATAGCAATAGCACTGAAGGTTATGCCTTAACTCATAGACTTCTATTGATTCAAATAATGAAAGCTGTAAGTAAATATTATAATTAAATGATTATTTTTAATGGATATATTATCACGAATTAATATATTGTATTACGAGTCGAATTTTAATCAATGTACTATATTATACGGCTGTCTGGAAAATATAATCCAAAATTAGTGGCACCGTTTTCTTTTACCATACTTTTATGGGGGACTTTTATTAATCAGATGTGGTAAATAAGTACGAATAAGTACGAATATACTTGGGGCAGCTTCGTTTAGAAGTGCTATAATTCGACGGCACTTAGGTGCGACTTGACCACTGTATTGGCATTTCAACCATGGAAGGTTTTTTGTTATTATCTATCAAGAAAATTAAATCTCTGAAGGTAGAGCTTCCTTGTCATCTACAATTGAGAAGAAAAATTAACTAATAATGAATTCAGAGTTCTTGTAATAAATTAATGGATAGATAATCTAATATAAATATAATAATAAAAAGCAGTTAATTTGAAATGTGTGTTTCTTTCTATTTATGATACATTGAAAAATATATTAATCAATGAAGGATCCGCAGTCCGATAAATAAATTTACTCCTTTTTCAGTAACGCTTCATCAGCAAATCATATTGCACAGATTTTCATAAAATAATCAATCAAATTAACATTTACTCGGATTAAGTACTTTGATTTCTTTTAAGAAAACTGAACAGTGGTTTATATATCTGATTTAGAAATTATACATCTTATTTTTTGATTATACTTCGATTAATGAAAGTTTAATATTTTTTAAATTCGTTTTTCAATAAATAAATGTTTAACATTTTCAGAATTTTACACCTTTTGTAATTATATTAGTAATCTAATATTTGGGCATTGCTCAAATCAAAATTATATGAAAAGTTATTATTGTATGCCATGATACCAGTGTTACGCTCGATGATCTTATGTCCGTTCAATTTCGTCTCTACAAATTTTTTGCTTTCACTAATATATTTCGCTAGACATTGTTAACATTGAAATTAATATGCAATACCAGTTCTTTTTGAAGACTTCCTTTTATCTCAGTCTGGACATATCATTTGCTGTAGTGATATTTTTTATAATGGAATCGTGAAATATTGTGTTTTTTTAAGATAGCCACATATTTCTGAAAGATGATATTATGATGAAGAGTATTTATGAAAGGTTGTTTATCTATGGTATCACGTAAAACAGCCTTTATCAGGTCAAAACTTCTAGATCTAATTTATTTATTACTACTAATGTAGATTTAATCACAGCAATTTTCGATATCACAGTACATGTCTCTCTAAAAACATATTTACTTTTGCTTTTAAATTGTCTAACAATGAATCTATCTGTAAATGTAGGTTTTTCTTCAGGTATTATTTTTCTATTCAACATTGATCTATCATCTGCAAGAGTGTCGGCCACCGTGCGTAAAGAGCCGGGCTCTGCAATTATTATTTAGGGTTTTAATCGATAAGGAAAGCCAGCGCTCACTTTCTCAGGCAAACTAATCATTCTGGTCGGAAGATGTTAGATATATAAAAATCACTAGCAATTAAATTATACAAAAGGCGATCTCCTTAACTATTCTAAAATCAATCCAAGATTTCAAGATTTTATTTCTAAAAACAGCAATAGGCGCGCTGAACCCAGATCGTGACAATTAAAAGAACTCGCTCGAGCGAGTTTGCTCAGCGTACGCGATGACATATGTATTAACGAACAAAATTTCATGCGAGCGAGTTCACTCAGAGTGCACGTTTAGCACGTTTATTACATGAAAATCTACAATCGCTGTAATCGAATGACAGCAGGCGCGAGAGAGAATTTGAATGCTCAAGAGAACGACCCACCAGGCATCGACGGTTCATTAGCGGAGAGGCGGCGTCGGCGGAAGCGGAGGCCGGCTGGCAGTGAGACCATGGCGATAGTTAGCGTTGGCTTCGGTGTAGCCGCTGCACGGCTCGGGCTCTCCAATTTATTAAGTACAATATATAATGGAGTATAGCCGATAAACCGAATGTTTAAGCCCGTTACTATCCACACAAATTATTTAAGAGGCGATTCAGGAAGCGTGAATGCTTCCACGAATAAATAGTATATTGGGCGCGTATACTAATTATGCACAAAGCCGACGTTAGGATGAGAATCGGGAACACGCGAAATACAGCGACATTCGCTGAAACCCAATTTACTTTATTCACAAATGAAACATACATACAAGAAAATGCGTTAAATTATGTTACTCTAGAACAAAATCAAATTTAAAAAAAAGGTGGCACACAATAAGCAATGCCCACAAAAAGAGTTACCTAGAATCTGTTAGGTAACCTACCCCTTTTGACTGAACGGATACGGTCGTTAAGACTGACGGAGAGGTAAGGAAAATTTCTCGTCACATATGTGTGAACGCGATGTTCAAACATAAAAGAGAGAGATATATATAAGACCTTTTCTCATTATACTATTGCTATTGCCCTGCCGTTGACTGCTGCTGCTGCTATTCACAAATAGCTGCATTCATCAACAGATTCTCACGGATATTCTTACACGCATTGATGCTGCGATATGATACTGGCTGGGCACAATTCAGTCATCAAACATAAAACCAAAATTCCACAATTACCACAAACTAAGCTTGTAAGGCCCCCTTCCCTGAAAACGAAACAAAAACCTGTCAAACAATGATAAAATATTAGCGACATACGCACTTTCATAATCCAGCTGTTACTATCACTTCTTTAATTCTTAAAAAATTCTTTCTCTTGTTGATTTTTTTCAGCTCTCTTACTTTCGCGTTCCTCGCGTTCGCCGTTTTGTTTTCTCTTCAGTTGTTGGCCGCTCGTGGCTATGGCAATCAGTTGCTCGATCGCACCTCGAATAGAAAAACAAGCATGAAAGTATATATGCACATACCCTCATTTTGTACGCGGCGAAAGGACAATGGTGGAGTCACCCGATGATTCAACCGTAATTGGGACGAATTTCTGCGTCGATTAATAACTATAGACGAAAGATGGATACACCACTACACTCCTGAGACGAAGGAACAGTCAAAACAGTGGATTGTGAAAGGTCAACCAGTTCCAAAGAAGGCCAAGACAGTGAAATCAACCGGCAAGGTTATGGCCGCTATTTTTTGAGATGCACGTGAAATTATCTTCGTCGACTATTTAGAAAAAGGACAAGCAATCACCAGAGAGTATTATGCGTCGTTATTAGACTGGTTAAGCGAGAAAATAAAGGAAAAACGTCCTCATTTGAACAAAAAAAATTCTGTTTCATCAAGACAATGCGCGAGTGCACACTTGCTTAATTTCAATGGCTAAAATTAAGAAATTGAAGTTCGAATTAAGAGACCATCCACCGTATTCTCCAGATTTAGCCCTAGTGACTTTTTTTATTCTCAAACCTAAAAAAGTGACTTGCCGGACAACAATTCATCTCGAACAAAGAGGTCATAACACAAACAAATGGCTATTTAAAGGAACTTCAAAAGTTCTTTTTTTCTGATAGCTTAAAAAAACTTGAAAGATGCCTGGAAAAGTATCTCAAGCTAAAAGGAGATTATATTAAAAAATTTTAAAAAAATCTACCAAAAAAATTGTTTTTTTATCTTTTTCTAAGGACTTATTGACCCACCCTCATAAAAGTCGATTGGAAAAAATATGCTCTTTAAAAAGAGGAACGCATAACGTGCAACGTTTCTTTTAAAACAGCTAAATAATATAAAAAGCAGCATCAACTCACTCAACGTAATTCTAATTGAAACTATTTTCAAATGCTATACTACAATGAATAGAAATAAAACACAACAAATCACGTCCATTAAAATAACCCAAAAATAAAAAAAGAGATTATTAAGAAGAAGATATCAAATAACTAGATCGAGTCAAGACAAAACTAAACTAAATAAAGTGTTATGTCTAAGCGAGGAGATGTTACTGCTAGACGTAATAATGTATAAAATATTGTCGCGTTGATAAAAGTTGGATCTTAGTCAGGAGTTAAGCAGAGGTTGGTTAAAGGGATAGCGCCTTTATTATATATAGCGTGTTTAGGTAGATAACTTAGTTTCTTACCTTATTAGGATTGGATTTCAGAAGAGGTTTTTACAAACAGTCTCAGGTGTTTGCGCTTGATTTAAGATTTATTGTTTAAAGACAATTTTATAATGCTTAGCAGAGTATAATTCCGGTTCTGAGTAGCTGGATAGCGAGACATATAAATAACAATATCAGTATAAGTACGAGTACTAGAGTATGAGTACTAATATAAGCGCTTAATATGAACTGTGCGAACTGTGTATTGTGTAAACTGAACTGCTTGAACTGTCTGCGCGGATCCCGATCCAGCCTTTTTATACCATAGGCTGATGTGCCCCTTCCTGTGTTTTCGCCGAATTAATATGCGGTGAGTAATATTCGCGGAAGTATTATGGAGAACGTACTTAGACTAATCTATCGCGCTAGATAGATTTACAAATGTTCCCGGGAGGGATGATACGATAGGAAATTAAATTACCGATACCCGGTTAGTTACCATAACCCGTTATTTCCTTATCATAATTCGTCACGTACTTTTCCTTTTGTATCGACGTGACAAAAGCAACCAAAGATCTAAACAAAATGTTATATGAAGAAAAAAACACACAAACGTAGAATTATTTCAGATTACTAAGTCCTACAGAAGCAACAAATTAGTCATTTTGAAAAGCTACTGAGCGACTTAAAAAACTAATTACATTTATAACGCCTATCAGAAAACTTGGTGATAACTTGGGAGATCATACAAGGAAAAAGCTGAAACGTTTACAAATAATCTTAGTACAGTATTCGAGCCTCAGCAAAGAATAATCACCGAAGAAGAAGAAGAAATCTTACTAGAAGGCTCTAA